ATTAACTAATAATTAGACATATAATGACATTTAGGCAAATAATAATAATAATAATAATAATAATAATAATAATAATAATAATAATAATAATAATAATAATAATAATAATAATAAAAGCAATAATAATTTAAATAATTCCTAAATATGTTATAAATAAACGGGGCATTACAGTCTACCCACCTTAAAAGGAATTTCGTCCTCGAAATTCGAAACTAAAGAAACATCCAAACTCTATAATACAACATCAACCATGAAGTTCGGATATCTCCTCCTAGTCTCAGTCTCAGTCTCCCCAGTTGCCTCGGACTTGTTGTGCCGGTTCCATTGCACCTCGACGAGATAGACTGCCCAGGTCCTCAGCTGATGAACCTTCTGGTCCAGTACGAACACCGGTACCTACTCATAGGTAAGGCCTCGCTCGACTTGCAACTCGACGAAGTCCACCACGTGTTCGGGGTCATGCAATCCGACAACACAGGTGGTAAAGCTAACTGGTAAGCCAAGTCTTTGACTAGTGCAAGAGTCTGAAAGGGTCCGATATAGTGAGGCCGAAGCTTCCCCCTTCTTCCCGAAGCGAACCACACCCAGCGGGTGCGATCTTTAGGAAGACATTCGTATCAACATGATTTCCACGGTGAGTACATAGTTGTAACGTCCCACTTTTATTTGACGAAATTCTGAATAAATTTTTCAAAATTTATTTCATATAACTTTGGCGGCGCTACTATTTGAAAAACTATTTTCAAAGACATCATAAATGCAACTCCCAAAACGGGTTCCAAAAATGAGGTCAACACCCAAACCGGGTTCATCAATAACATCAATCTCCCTAAACCGAGTTTTCTCAAATTCATAAATATTGGGGAGTACACTCCCTATCAATAATCCGAAAATCGACATTAATCAGAATGCATAAACGATACTAGGCAGTTCAAAGCAGCGGAAATAAATTCAGTAACATGACCACCACTCGCCTCCTCTTGTCGTGCCAGCGAGTACTAACCTGCATCCATGAAAAGCAGGTGGGGATGAGCACAATTGGAAAATCAAGGTGCTCACCACTATGCAGTAATCAATATTCAATAATCATAAGCAGTAAAGGTATGGTCGCAGTATGAACATGATACATTTAGTATCCCATCTCCTATCCCAGAGTCAACCCTCATGTACACACCTATACCAATAGACCACTGAACTGATACACGTATCGAAATGCCACTCGGGTCTTACAATCAATGCCCAGCCAGCAGAAGTAAATCCACCCCCAATGCCAAAATTTACGCCTTGGCCTTACATACGAGGATCACCAGCCAAGGCTCACGCCCTGACTGCCATACATAAATAAAGGAGACTACCCGAAGGTACGTTCTATAGCTACGGGGATAACCGTTCGACGGTCGGTACAGCTCACATCGAAGGCTACATGGTCCATACTCACACTTTGATCATACCGCAACAAAAATAATTAATTAAAGCATAGCAATTTTATAAATAAACCCACCTGGTATTGGGAGAAAGAAATCACAGAAAATCGGGGGAAAAAGGTAGGCCGAGAACACAACTGGTCAAACACCTACATTACACAAAATAGTCCTATGAAAGACTATCCAACACGCGAATACTTATAACTACACTCGTGCGATATAATTTAGCCACATAGTTCAACAACGACACAAAACATAACCGTAGTTCAGAAATGAAAATGAACAACTCGCATGTCTCAGCATTTCCAAGATAACATGAGCTATATATATGCTATTCAGGTGATTCCAAAACCAATGAGCAGCTAACACATATATACACAACTTTTATGTTGATCACTTAAGCCAACAATGACTTTAAAATCGAGTTTAAGCATAAACACATAGGTCAAAAAATCTGCCAACGCCACTATTTATCAATTTACAGTAGGTCACTAAAACAACAATATCTCATGATATAAAACTCCGAATGTAATACCTAGTTTATTTGTGAAATATTTGGGATTATTTGTTTATTTATTTATTTCATCATTTATTATTGTTGTTATTATTTAACCCCTAATTGCTATTACCATTATTATTAAATGTCTAATTGTTTAAATTCCTATTAATATTAAATAAATTAATATTGTGTACATAATATAGATATATATATGTCTCGGTGTTATTTTAATTTATCGTGGCTATCGTATTCGAACCGTTTATCCAAGCGAGTCTTAAGTTCAAATCCCGACCCAATTAGTGTATTCTTTGTAATCATTTTGGGATCAATTATTTCAGCCCAATTCTTTTATTAATCCTAGACCCAAGTGGATTTTAATTACAACCCATTTGATTATAAAATGAGGCCCAACAAGAGTTAATGAGAAGATATTTTCTTCTGCTCCAGAAGATCGAGTCCTCATCACCAACGGATCAAAACAGTTGTTACGATTTTTAAGCACACGTTCTCCTTCTATCTCCCTCTCGCTCCGTTATATCTTGACCGAGGAGGATATTTTTTTTTAAACATCAGAAATCAGTCCATTTATCTCTCTCGCAGTACCAGCATTAAAAAAAGGGAGAAATTCTGTGCGTTTATTTTTTTTTTTGGCGACGTGAGCAGTTCCAGCCGATTCCATCACCGGCGACCACCATTCTTTCTGTTGAGTCCCTCCTCATCGCAGCAGCCATCACTGAAGCTTCAGTCGTTCACACGGGTAAAGCAGCAGTCTGGAGCAACGTCCCAGTTGCCGTCCAGTCGTTCGTTGAGCATCCGTTTTTGTTCGATTCGTCCGTTTCCAACCAAGCACGTGGATTCCAGAAGTGAGGTAATCGTCAAGCCTCCTGGTTATGTTTTTCGTACTCGAATATTATCGTTGGATCTATCGTGTTCTTGAAATCAAGTTTTGTTGATTTTCGGATTATTTTCGGTTCGTTCGTATAGTTTGATTGTGTTGTTTCGTGTAATTTATTCGTGGATTTTTGGAACTCTCCTTCGTATCAACGAGTCTTGTTGCTGCTGTGATTGAATCGTGCTAATTCGGGGTTTCGTTTATTATTTTCCCGAGTCGTTGTCGTTGCCGTTGGTTAAATCGTCATTTTGTATTTCGAGCCAAAAACTCGATTTTTCTAAATTCTGAAACTCCGAAATTTATTATTTTCAAAAATTTATTTTACTCGAACCCCGGTTGCCGTTGGGAATGGTGTCGTCAAATTTGGTCGATTTTTTTCCAGCCTGTGCGCATGCGTCAGTTGCTGTTTGAAGTTGCAGCTCTGTTCAATTTTCCTCGACCTCTGCTCAATTTTTCTTCCCAGGTTTTAAATATAATCCAGTAGTTAATAAGTCGTTGAAAATAGCAAGAGGCGGTTTGGCGCAGCGGTCTGTGCTCAGTTCTGTTCGTGAGGGGTCTTGGGTTCGAACCTTTAGACTGCAATCGCTTCTTCTATTTTTTTTCCAGCCCATTCTGCAACCCTTCCAGCCCGCATTCTCAGCCCGCGCAAGCCCGATTCCCAGCCCAGTTAGCCCGCAGATTTCAGCCCTTGAGCAGGCACAAGTTCACGCGTGTCCGACCCAAATACTTGGCTGCCTTGGGCCAGCGTTTGGGCAGAGGCCCAATTCCCTATTTTAAGCTTATTTTGAGTTCCGAAAGCCCGTTTTTCGTACCGATTTCAAATTCAAAAATTATTTTCAAATGAGAAAAATTTGGAGAAAATATTTTTAAGTCTCGAGACCCCATTGCCTTTTCCGAGTCTCTTTCCTTTTAAATTAGAGAGTTTCAAGTCCACGAAAAATCCTATAAAACCCCTTAAATCTTAATTTTTATTAACTATGGGTTTTATGTTCAATTCGAGTAGTGAGATAGATTATTAATATATTATCTCGCTTAAATGTAGGTGTTTGAGGAGTCGAGCCCTCGACCTACGAACTTGCTTTTGTGTGATATTCTACCTCGATTTTCAGGTGGGTTTTAATCTAAAATTTGCTATGTTATAATTGAGGTAAGATTTTTATACTTGTGTTCTATGAGTGTATGTGTGAGTCATGAGACGGTGCCTAGTGGTGGGCGATCTCCAACCTTGTGATAGGTAGACTCATTTTAGCCTAGTTGATGGGCCGTGACCGTTGATGTTGAACCTCGGCACGACTGTACTCCCGCTGACGAGTTTGGGCTTACTCCTGGCTGCTTTTGACAGGTGGGCACATGAGTGTAGTGATGAGTAGGAGAGTAGTGTGTTATGTCTTTTGACCATGTACTTGCATATGACTCTAGTATAGGATTCTTACCAATATGTTATGCATAGTGGTGAGCACCTCATTTATATTTGTGCCTATCCCTACCTGCTCTTCATTGATGCAGGTTAAGCACGTGTTGGGCATGACGAGACTGAAGACGAGTGGGTGGTCAAACATTATTATTGCTTTATATTGCTTCCGCTTGCTTTGATATTTATGTTGAGATTATAAGACTTTGTTATTCATCCCTATTGCTTTTGGGATTGGTTGAACTGTTGAACCATGTGGAATATTTTTATCAGTTTGGATTATGTTGACAATCCTATTGCTAGAATGTTGAAATCTAGTCTTGGAACATGAATTATGTTGAATATTCTCGTTTCCTTTATGCTGATTATGTGTTAAGCTTTGCAAAGTTCTCGAGTAGCGCCAAATGTTTTGTAAATTGATAAATGGTTTTGAAATTTTTAAAACAAGATTTTTGGATAAGTCCGGAATTGTCTTTAAAAATCTTTACGGCGTTACAGTTTGGTATCAGAGCCAGTCTGCGTTTCTGTAGACTGGTTTATATGTGATTAAGTGATTATGTGAATTGATCTTGTGTGTTGACCACTCTTCTTCGTTATGCCGCACTGCTTAAGGTATGTTTTAAATAAGTATTGATGTATATACTTGAGAAATGTATTGCTAATATTTTGGGTTAGGTTTTATCCACCTTTGAATAAACTCGAACTCTAGTGTTTATGATAAATACTAGATCTTTCGTAACTGTACTAAACTTTGTGGCTCATTTTTCAATGTAGAGAAATGGCTCGTCAAACCGCAATAGCAATCAGCAGCAACCACCTCCCCCGTCTCCTCCTCCTCATCAGCATACTCCGGGTAGAGATCCCATTACCCAAGTTTTGATCGATTTCCGTAACATGTATCCTCCGGTGTTCACCGGAGTTGACGACCCCGAAGCTACGGTTGAATGGCTTCAGCAGCTGGAGAGTATCTTCGATCTGTTGTTCACCACTGATGAGGTGAAAATCCGTTGTACCTTGTTCGTGATGACCGGAGATTCTAGGGCTTTGTGGAATGACTATTGGAGGCTCCATCCTCGTGCTGAGAGAGATGCCTTGACTTGGGACCAGATGGTTACTATAGTCAAGGACAAGTATTATCCAGAGGCTCACCATGCCCAGATGATAAAGGACTTCTGGGAGCTTAAGCAGGGACCCCGTCCCGTGGATGTTTACGAGCGCGACTTCACCCATATGTGCGCATTTGCCCCGATGCTCGTGGATACCAACCAGAAGAAGGCCTTTCGTTTCCGTGGTGGTCTTCGCCCCGACCTTTGCTACACTCTAACTGGCCACGGAGCTCTGTCGTACTCCGAGATGGTCTGCCGAGCCACCGAGTTAGAGGTTTGCCAGAATGCCCAGAGGGCGACTGCCCCATCCTACCAGCAGACCCCTATGATTCAGCCTATCTCAGCTGTTGCGCCCGGTTCTAATTCGAGAAAGAGGAAGGCCGACTACCATCAAAACAATAAAAGAAAGGAAAGAAGGGGAACTTCGGGAGGCGTGATGACCGACCCCCTCAGGGACATCTTCCAAGGTGCCTTAACTGCGGCAAGTTCCATAGGCCAGGAGAGTGCCGAGCAGTCGACAGAAACTGTTTCAATTGACACCGTGTCAGACACTTTTCGCATTTGTGCCCCGAACCGAAGAGGCAACAGCAGCAGCCACCGTACTCTCAGCAGCAACCACCTCCACCCTATCAGCAGCAGCCCAGACAACCCCCACCTTACCAGCAGAGGGCTGGGGGTCAAGCCCGCGTGTATACCATCACCCATGATGAGGCAGCCAACAACGAAGGTACTATGTCCGGAATGCTTTCGATATCCAACGTGCCTGTATATGCTTTATGTGATACTGGAGCCACTCATTCATTTATTTCTACTCGTTGCTTGGAGGCTTTGTCCATTAGTAATGTGTGCCCTTGTGACCCTCTCGAGGTTAGTCTAGCCTCGGGAAGGATTATTATTTCCGATTCTATGATTCCCAGTCTTTCAGTCAGTATTGGTGGGCATATTTTGGAGGCCAGTGTTTATGTGATTGAAATGCGGGACTTCGATGTGATCTTGGGCATGGACTGGCTCACCACTATCGAGCTGACATCCGGTGCCAGGAGCGCGAAGTCACTCTCTTTCTTGTTTCTGATCAGCCAGTTGTATTATTTTGGGTGAAGTCGAGGACTGTGCCTCGAGTCATCTCTTCTATGCAAGCTAGGAAGAGCCTTTGTGAGGGTAGCTGTCAAGGCTATCTTGTTTTTGTGGTGTCCGAGGAAGATTCCGAGGGGACTTCGGAGCAAGTTTCTATTTTTTGTGAATTCCTTGATGTTTTTCCCGATGAGCTGCCTGGAGTACCACCCGACCGCCAGGTGGAGTTCACCATTGACTTAGTACCGGGAGCTGGCCCCGTGTCTAAGGCCCCTTACCGTATGGCGCCGAGGGAGCTTCAAGAGCTTAAGGCCCAGATTCAGGAATTGCTCAGACTCGGTTTTATTCGACCGAGTGTTTCGCCGTGGGGAGCACCCGTCCTATTCGTGAAGAAGAAAGACGGATCCATGCGTATGTGTATTGACTACCAGGAGTTGAATACCCTTACAGTCAAGAACAAGTACCCCCTTCCTCGTATTGAGGATCTCTTCGACCAGCTGAGAGGAGCCAGCGTCTTTTTGAAGATCGATTTGTGATCTGGCTATCATCAACTGAAGATTCGAGAGTCGGATATTTCTAAGACTGCCTTTCGGACCCGCTATGGCCACTATGAGTTCGTAGTCATGACGTTCGGACTCAGCAATGCCCTAGCAGTTTTTATGGACCTTATG